GGAGTGACCCCCATGACTAGAAGAGGAGTCTGTATCACAAGAATGGCGAGCCAAAAATTACAAATCCTTTGACCGGTAAAGCTGGTCATACATTGTATAAATTTCCCCGGTTCTTGATGAGCCAGCTGAAATGAATTCAGTGGGTGGCCCTGTTGGCACACTTCCGTACGGCATCTATCGGTCAGAAAATTGAAAGAGCCGGTCTGAGGGCTTGTGTACACCAGCAGCCTCGGTCAACTACACGGCTGCTGGTGTGCGTGTGCCCGTACAGTCACGATGCGCTCGATCAAGCCGCATTGCACAGTTTCTTGGGTTTCTGGTTCTGTGGGCTCAACGTGGTACGATCTGGTGATACCGTGTCTGACTGTGGTGCTTGCTGTACTTTTTTTTTTAGGCACACACCACCGGAAGGCAGTGGTGTGAGCTGTCGCCATCCATGACAAGACAAACTGCCTTGTTTTGCATTTGGGCTGCACTGGAAAAATGGCCACAGCAATCTGAATGCAGACGGTGTGAACAAGCCCTGACATTTTTCAGGTGAACAGTGACAGCAGCCAATCAACAGCTGTCAGAATACAGTAGACGAGCAGGAGATTCGTCCATCCATGCTAAACAGGAATCGGTCATGTTTTTTTAGTTCAGCCTGCAGGTTGAATGAAAGAAATATAAAATAGTACATGACTGGCCATACACTAGTTATAGAGTGATTGAGAAAAAAAAACGTTGGATTCCCCCATCCAAGCTAAACAGTGTAAATGGGAAATCCCCCCTTACAGCTATTGTGTATTGACAGCTGCTACCAGCGGCTGTCAGAATACGGGAAGAGTGACGGCAGCTGATTACTTGTGAGCAGCTTAATGTGACACTTGACTCAGGAGGTTAAATCTATAAAATACATTCAATCAACTTAAATATTAACAAAAATGTATCTTATTTGTGTATCACTCGGCTGTAGATCCTCAAATCATCTCTGAATTGGTGCTGACACTGTCCTTCCTTCTGGAGCACACAGGGTTCTGTTCGCCATGGTCCCTGTGTATGTTTAAAAGCAGCCAACGCTCCAAGCTCGCACTTGTGATGGACTACAATCTCACAGTTAGTTTACTAATTTGTATAAAGATTGTAGTTTATCACAGGAGTGAGCTTGGAGTGGTGACTACTTTACAACACACACAGGGACCATGGGGAACAAAAGTAGCCACCCTCCAGAAGGAAGGACAGTGGCAGCACCAATTTAGAGATGATTTGAGGATCTACAGCCGAGTGATACACAAATAAGATTCAGATTTGCGAATAGTTAAGGTACGTGAATGTATTCTTAAGATTTACCTCCTGAGTTTAGGGTCACTTTAAATCTATATGCGTTTCACACCTTCATTTAGCTGCTTGCCTGGAAATCCAGGCTATGATCAATAGTCAATCTAAATGCTGCTTAGACACAGACAAGCTGACATCTCCCATGTCCTAATTATTTCTTCCTTACTCTGAAAAAACAAACACTCTATGTAGTACATTGATTTACAGCTAATAATTCATCACTTTTTTTGCTGTATTAGTGCTGTTTGTTTACATCTCCTGATGATTTCCTCCTACCTGCTGTTAGTCTTCAGGATGAAGATGGAAGGCAGCCTATCTGCCGAGCTGGACATTATTCATAGCAATTTACTGATCCTTGCTGCTAATTCCCTAATATGCCTTCCAGGGTGAGTGGGTGATTCCTGTGCATATCATCTAGCCTGATATATAGAGTGCCTTCCATCTTTATCCTGAAGACAGCCAGTGGGGGGATGTCACCAAGAGAGATGTACACAGGGCTAATACAGCTTGCCCTTAAAGAAAAAAAAAGTTTTAGGAGGCAAGAAAAGTAATGAATTACAATTAGGGATTTGCTTCAAACAATTTAACCGTTTCAAAGCCTGTCCAGTGACAGTAATTGTACTTTCAGAGAGTGCATATTAAAAGGGAACTGTTATGTGCCTAGCCTCCTTCTCCTGCAGGTGGCGATATACCCTACCATTCAGGATCTACGATCTGTTGCCCTGTGTCCTTCAATGAGCGGGAGAGAAACTCCCCCATCCACACTAATAGCATGAATAGGGGATTCCATACCTCCTCCAAGCTGGGCTATTGTATCCAACTGTTCAGCTGAGAATCTTCAGGCGGCTCCTACCACAAAAGTCAATTACAAAAAGAACCTATATCGAACAGAGGGGTACCAATGGGGCCCACAAACTGCATTTCAGCCGAGTCAGCAACTCAACCAAAATTCCAGCAGTGTATGATCAGCTTTACTTGCCAAGTTCTGTAAACTAGAGAAAATGTTACTGCCCAGTGTGATCCTCAGGCTCCGTGTTTGCAATCACTCATGCCGTCATATATTATAGCGGACACACCTTCTAAACAAATGTGGGCCTAAATGATGAGGCCAAAGATCATATCAAAGGAAATTAAGCATGTACTCATGTTAGAAAACAACATTAGTTAATCATTCATTTCTCCAATCAGCCGACAAGCTTTAGAACTCTATTACAGCTGTGTTTTTAGTCAAACTTACCGATTTAACACTCCATTGGAGATGAGTGCCTCCTTAGGGTGGAAATACTTGTAGTAAACATTCCGTACAACAGAATCTTTAATTAAAAAAAAAAAAAAGAAAGCGAGGACAATTATTTGTAGATCAAGTCATACAACTTGTTTGGGAGTGGAGAAGGTATGGATCCTCTGCCAAGTTTTTATTGCTGTCGGATTACCCATTGGTGAGATTTGGCACCACTTCCTGTCTATGTGACAGGTGTCATACAGTAAAGAAGAACAAACCAATCTGTTTAACTACTCAGGTTAAAAACGATATACTTTTGCAAAAACCCGGTAAACCCGTTTTTTCTGGCTTGCTTTTCTTTTTTACATGTTCCAATCCCCCCGACCTCCAATCAAGCTTACATCATCTAAGTGAGAATGACGTGCGCTGTTCCCCGTCACATATCCCAGGAGGCATTACTTCCATACAGCGGACAGAGGAAGAATGGCCTTGCAGCGCATCAACAGAGGCCAGCTGTCTGAACTCAAGCCGAGTACGCACTGTTATATTTTTTTTATTCAGTCTCACAGGTTAAATGGAAAAAAAAAAAAAGACAGATTCTTCTATCCATGCTGGTAGTCTGAATGAACGAATCTCTCGCTGTGTACATTGTATTCTGACAGCAGCACTGGCCGCTGTCAGAATACCCAAACAGTGGTTGCAGCACATTGGCGGCGAGCATTCATCGGCCTGTGATTTTCCATCATGCCCCCTTGACAAAAGTCGATTTAATGGAGGGAATAGGGCGATCAACGGATTGCATTTCAGACTATTCGTGCTGAATGGGCCCAAATTCGCTCCATGTGTACCCAGGGTTAGAAGAGACAGCTGGCTCACAATAACATCAGGGAAGAAGATGCCACCGTAATACCTGGAATGTGAACTACAGCAAGACAGCTCTGGATTCGCTGGGCGAGGGAGGGAGTATAAGGCCCATTTCACATTGTCTGATCAGGAGGGAACACTTGCACAGATCTCCTGCTGATCAGTAAAGCGGTCACCATTGTGACATGCATGCAGGCCCGGATTTCCCACAAGGCCACCGAGGCCCGGCCTCGGGGCGGCAGCGGTGACCTTGTGGGGAAGTTGCGGGCACCGATGTAAGGTGTCCCGGCGGCGGGCCGTAGTGTGGGGCCGCGGTCCAATCACGACGGGGTGGGCCGAGGCTCCGCCCACCAGCTCTGTAGTGTGCGGCCGCCGGCCAATCACAGGGAAAAAAAATGTAAATTGATTTTTTTTTTAAAAATGTAAGAAAAATGTAAAGAAAAATAATATTAAAGTAATTAACCACTTCAAGACCAGGTGTTTAGACCCCCTTCCTGGCCAGGCCATTTTTCAGTATTCAGCGCTGCGATACTTTGACTGACGTTTATTCCGTCATGCAACGCTGTACTGAAATTAATTTTATACAATTTTTTGGGGACAGATAGAGCTTTCTTTAGTCCATCCAGTTTTTTGTTTTGTCTTGCAATGGAGAAAAATACTGAAATGAATAGACCCATGTTGGTCTTTGGAGAATGGAATATAAATGGACTTGTGTCTCAGATTGCCCCGGATCTGGCATGATCAGGTCCGTCAAAACAGAACTCCATCCATTTGTTTTTCCGGATCTGGCTGTAACTGATGTAAACGGACACATGCCCATTTAAATCCAGCTGCCCATAGACTAACATTGGGATTCCGATCAGGTCCATCTGAAAAACTGAAAAGGTGGGAAATGATCGGAAATCCCGTGTGAAAGGGATCTTAGAATTGAGGACAACTCAGTATTAGGTTAAAGGGGATATAGAAAATATAAATGGGAGGTAAATTTATTTTTTTAAAGTACAGCCATATACCAGAAGCGAGACTCTAATAAGCTCACAGACAAAAAACAAAGTCCTCTGTCAGGATTTGATTGTTGTTTTTGTCCCACTGAGGGAGATTTCCCGCCACTTCCTGTCCAGGTAACGAGTATTGAAAGGAAAGGTAGAGAAGACAGGTCTCTTTTATGAGGATAAAGAAAGCATTTAAAACCGAACAGCAATTCTAAGCCTTTCACACCCTATCCAAAACTAAAAGAACCATGTTCGGCTGAAGTTGGGCTTTAAAGGAGAACTCCGGGCAAAACTTTTATTAACCCTTGCAGTGGGGCCACCCCCGCACTGTAAGGGCTAACTGCTCATTTTCGTACAAAAATAAAGTTATACTCACCTGAAATCGGCTTCTGAAGCGGTCTAAGAATCCTCAAGTCATCACGTCCAATACACTGTGTATAGGACATGAGGAAGCTGAGAGACATGCCATTGCTGCAGTGTAAGAGGAGATAGGCTGAAGGGAGTGCTGTGACAGCTGGCCAGCAACAAGGTTTGGGTGAGTTAAATTCTTGCATTTTAGACCCTAGGTAAAAATGAGCAGTTAACCCCCCGATGCAAGGGTTAAAAAAGATTTGATCTGTTTTAAACAACCATGTGATCAATAAAAAGCATACCTTTATCTCCAATAAACCAGAACCAAACAAAAATAAACAGTACATAGGGACTAAAAATCATAAGCATCAACATTTTGTTTATGCTTTGCCTGGTTGGCTTGTTCAAGTGAAAATGACACCAGAGCGATTCCTTTGAGTGGCAATCATCTGAAAAGACGCAGGGGGGAAAATGATCTATTGAGCAATCCCTTGCTGAAACGCTTACAACTTACCTACCCTTTGCATCATTTTCATTCAGTGCTGTGAAACAGGGGCGAGAAATAATTGATATTCACTTGAGTAGATCAGGTGGACGTGTATAACCAGCATCCTCCCGATCTTTATTTCGCTGACCCCATTGTACACAAAGATTTTCATTGCTAACAAGCATAAGCATGAGCTTTGCTGATTGGAGAGCTGTAGCTATGTCTCAGCAGGGGGAGAATCAGTCCTCTGCAGTGGGACCGCTGCTTCCACAGAGAGCAAGGATCCTTTTCTGCAGCATGCTGGCAGGGAAAACAATCTTCTAAAGAAAACCAACTGTAAAAGGTGCTCATACACCTGCCGATTATCGTACGATAGTCGCAGGTGATCCCGCGGTCGTACGGTAATCGGCAGGTGTATGGGCAGCGCGCGACTGCATCTACTGTACGGTCACACGACTTTCGTTTTCCTAGCACGCTGGAAAACCTGCCGAAAATCGTACGATAGGTTGGTAGCATGCTCGGAAGACGAACGCCGCACAGGCCAGTGTGCGCAAGCGCACGCTGCCCGCTCAGCATTGCAGTCGTCGGCAAGCCCTCCCCTCAGCAGGGAGGTCTTGCGATGATCGCAAGTACGATCTGCCTGTCCAAGATGGGCAGGTCGTACGAAATTTTAATGACCTTACAACCAACGCACAACGAAAGTCGTGCGATGGTTGTAAAGTGTATGGCCAGCTTAAGACTTTGAACACTTTTGTTTGGATACACCTGGAATGTATTTAGCCGATTTAAACTGAAAGTTCAGTTGTGCTTTGACCTTACTAGCTTTGCTGTATTACATTTAAATAATTCTTGCCACACGAAAGTTAACAACGAGCAACTTACCTGTGTTCACCATGATGCCATACTCCTCCAACAAGAAGTTCACATTGGTGTCATATTTGGACTCTCCTCCTTCGCCCAGCATCACTAGAATGCAACCTCCTTTCTCCATGTACTGCTTCAGAGCTTCAAACTGTAGGATGAAAGTGAACAGTAAGCGAGCACCGAAAACCGACAACCTTTGCGTTGTCATGTGCTGTTGCTGGATGCGTTGTCATTGTTGGATGAGTTGTCCAGCACAGGAAAAATTCATAGACATGAAAAAAATACAATCAAAACTGGAGCAAACAGAATCAACAGTTGCCCATAGTAACCAATCAGCTTCTATCTCTCATTTTCCAAGTTTAACTGATCAAACTAAAAAGAGAAGCTGATTGGATACTATGGCCAACTGCTTCAGATTATGTCTGCTCCAGTCTTGATAAATTCCCCCCATGAGGGAATTTATCAGTTTACCTGCAAATAATAATGTCACCTTCCCACAAATCAGGATGTGGCAGATTATAAACAATGCCCAAAGTCAGATTATCAGGCAGTATAAGTACAGGTGGCACACGGTTCTTTTGCACTGATTTAAAATAGCCCACTTTTCTGGGTGTAAATTGAAACCAAATATATAATGTATGTCAATGGGACATGAAGGAGTTAGGTTCCAGGCCTCTCTCAAAACAAGGAATGGTTCCACATAGAAACTGGTGTAAACTGAAACCCAGTAAATAATGCAAGTCAGCAGAAAGTGAGGAAGTTCGGTTCCAAGCCTCTCTCATTGACATAAGTAACATAATACAGGTACGTTTTATTTCAAGCTCCTTGTGTGAGCTCGTGCAGCAGCTTTAAAAGGAGAACTATGAGGGGAGTGCTTTTCACTCACCTCATAGTTCTAACCGACCTGTGACAATGAGACTGTCACAGGTCGGCTCAGTAGATCGGGAGGTGAGCGAACACATACCGGCGTTCGCTCACCTCTCGATCCTGTCACGGCTCTCTGCCGTGACAGGGGAGGGGCTGGATTCCCCCCTCCCCGCTCCGATCCGCCAGCGCTGACTGGCGGAACGGACGGGGGAGGGGGCGGGTACAGCTGGCTCTGCCTCTAGATAGGCAGAGCCAGCCGTCATTCACGCAGCTGGGCGGATCCCGGCACAATTGTCGGGATCTGCTTCAGCTGCGGCGTCTCAGTATACCGCAAGCTACAGCTCGCGGTATACTGAGCCTACGGTGACGGGAGGACGCTAGTTTGTGTCCTTCTGTTACCCTAAGGAGAACTATGGGGAAAAGCCTTAACCCCATAGTTCTCCTTTAAATATAATGTATCTGTATTTTATTACTTATGTCAATTTTGAGAAAGGTCTGGAACACAACTCCCTCGCTTCCCACTGACTTACATTATATACTGGGTTTCTATATTCAACCATTCCTAACCCCAGCGTAAATTGAGAGCTACCTGTATTGTGATGACGGGTTCGTTTTGAATGCAAATCGAGAATCGCCTCAAAATAGCATGTTGCCCCTTAATATGTTAAGTGATATGAAAGAAACAACCAACTTACCTCTGCGGCTGTGAACTTCTCCCTGGGACCTGTGGTGATCCAGAGCTTCACACCCGTCATTTTCTCTGCAGTAATGTCATCTTTCAGACTGGAGTGAAGAAAGAGAAGGTAGAAGTGACCATGACAGCTTCACCCTGATGATTAGGACTCATTAGGTTTCATCAAGTCATAACCCTCCTTATGAAACTCACTGACCTATGCCAGAGCTCTGAGGAGGCTTAAAGCAGGACTCTGGGTAAAATTGTTATTAACCCTTGCAGTGGGGCTACCCCTGAACTGCAATTGTGAAGTGCTCTAGGTTCAAAAATAACAAAGATATACTCGCCTGATCCTCCAAGCCAGCTGGCTGTGACAGAACTCAGTCCTCAAATGAATGTGAATGCCATGCACCTCTCACACCAGAACGCATGGTAGGTGCGATTGCGTTGTACAGTGCTTTAAATCGCATGGGACTGTGTGATTAATGCACTGTGCTCGTGTAAACGGGCCCTCAAAACACTGAGATACACGCACAACCACAGACACAATCTCACACACACATACACACTCCAAAAACACCCAGTCTCCCTATATTACGAGAACTGGTGTGGATCCTCAGCCTGGGGTCCAATGTGGGCTGCTGTGCTGTGACTAAGCTTCATCCACTTGTACAGCTCCCTTGCAAACCCTGTAGAGGTGCTGGGAGCCAGAATGTGACGTCACTCCGGTCCAGGCACCTCTACAAGACACGTGAGGGAGCTGTAAGCAATGCACATATGGATGGACCTCCCTCGCAGCCATAACTCCATCCCATCCCACCTCAAGCTGACACTCGGCACCGGGCAGCATATTGTGAATGGCTGCTCGGTGTGAGAACTGACAGTGCTGTGCTGGGGGGAGACAGAGGAGCCTCTCGCCTAGAAAAGTGGAAGGCACATGGTGACCCACTGATCACGTGGTCGCGACCCACCTTTGGGTTACGACCCAGCAGTTGAGAACCAAGGTTTTAAACTATCCCACTTCCATGTCAGAAGCGAGCCATCCGGCCGTTAAATGACACCAGCCGGATGGCAAGCGGTTAATTTAGGTAACAGCATGTATATTGCAGATCTATATTTTGGGCGTTTGGGGGAAGAATTCAAAGTGAAACAAATCTGGAGACATTTACTGGAACGTTTCCCAACAACATTTCTGTACGACTTTGGCCCTGGAACACAATGCAGTAACATGTTGAAGGGAATTCATCAAAACTGGAGCAGACAAAAATCTGGAGCAGCTGTGCATGGCGACCAATCAGCTTCTTCCTTTCATTTTCAAATCTTAGACCCCGTTCACATTGAGCGATTTATCGCGCGGTAATTCCCGCGATATCGCGGCAAATTACCGCGCGATATCGCGCTCCAATGCAATCCAATGGGGCAAAGGGTCCTGCTGTCGCGGGTCGTGTGTCGCTACAGCAGGACCCTTTTTGGAGCGGATTTAGCCGCGATTCAAGCTTGCTCAATGCAAGCTTGAACGCGACATCGCGCAGCAAATCTCGCGATGTCGCGCAAATATGCAAATCGCGCGACAAACGCGCGATTTGCATATCGCGCAGTGGGAACGGGGCCTAAACTGAACAAACTGAAGAGAGAAGCTGATTGGTCGCCATGCACAGCTGCTCCAAATTTTGTCTGCTCCAGTTGTGATAACTTCCCCCGTTATGTCTTCCAGATTGAAGCTGTCACCTTTGTATTTTCCAAGTGCTCCTCAGTCTTTTCTGGAAAGATTTGTAGCCTCCGGCCTCATTCTTCGACACATTGAATAAAATGGTGTTTCTGTTTTCATTATCAGATGGAACCTGAAACAAACAAATAGAAAAGGGAAATAAAAACAAACGGCAAAGTTATTTACTCAAAATCCCAAACAACAAATATTTATGCAGAAAAACACTGGAGGGTTTATGGGTTGTTCACACCAAATGCTGACCAGATCTGCATGAGTTTCTTCACACGCAGTGCAGTGCGTTTTGCCGCGTATTTTAGGCCTTGTTCACACCAAATGCAGAGCAGATCCGGTCAGGTTTCTGCACACGCACGCTAGACGCGTTTGGAGCTCTTTTTGGTTAAAAAAAACAAAATGTTTTTTTTTTAAAGTTTAAAATGGGCTTTCAGTGTGTTCCAGGCATTGGCATGCGTTTTTGATGCGTTCCAGAGCAGGTAAAATAGGGCTTGCTGCAGTTTTTTCACCTGCTCTGGATCTGCTCTGCAACTGCATGCTGCGATGTGAACTGGAGCAAAAAATACCATTGGAATACATTGGACGCAGTTTTGATCCGGTCTGCACCTGTCCTGCTCTGCATCTCCTCCGCGCTTGGTGTGAACAAGCCCTAATGGGCTTTGAGGGCCTGTTCACATGATATCAGGTCCTGATCAGGTGCGGATCTGCAGACGCGGTGCTACTGATGCAGTGCGTTTTTAATGCGTTGCAATTTTAAAAAAAAGTTGGAGTGGGGCTGTCAGTATGTTGGCTGCAGTGTAGTGCGTTTTTGACGCGTTTTGCGTTTCCGGTCCGTTTCCTGACCGGACAAAATGTGACATGCAGTATTTCTTCTGTCGTAACCTGAACGGACTGCGCACGTGAGATCTGTAGCCCTTAAAACACATAGGGATACATTGGGACGCGTTTTTAGTGCAGGAGCGTACGGATCAGGTCAGCACGGAAAACGGACGTCGTGTGAACAGGCCCTAAGTGCTGGTTCACACCTGGGCGTTTTTCAGCGCTGAAAAACGCTCAACATTAAAAATCCCATGCATTCCTATGGGCCTGGTTCACAACTGGGCGTATTTCAGCGTGTTTTGTCACGCTGAAAAACGCTCTACGTGCGAAAAAGTACATTGGCAGATTTCAGCGCTGTTTCTGACATAGACTTCAATGGAAACTCCCTTAAAAGGCGTTTGCACGCTTTTGTGTTAAAAAAAACGCGCGTTTATCAGAGGCAAACAGGGCACACTCTGGGGACTGTCAGGCACACTTTGCTGCATCATGGAGGACTCAGCACTGTGTGGCCTTGTGGATACAGAGACTGTTATCCGCATGGTGCAGGAAAAGCCATGCATATACGACCTGCAAGACGCAGGCTATACAAATAGGAGGACGAGGAAGCAGGCATGGTCAGAAATTGGCCAAAAAATCTGGGGTGATTGGGAAACTTTCAGTCCCATCATTAAAGAGGTCAACTATTGCTGCTATACGTCGCTGTTTGTATAGATCCATGTTAACGCGTCTCACCACACGCTCTACACTGTCAAACAAGGAAACTGGAAAAGGAAGTTATGTTTCTCAGGAAGTAGTTTTCATTGGACGGCTTCTAGTGATTTCAAAAACACGTGTAAAACGCGCGTTTCAATAAAACACAAAAACGCGCAGAAAAAAACGCAAGGAAAAAAACCGCCCAGGTGTGAACCCAGGCTAAGTGCGTTCCAGAGCAGGGAAAATAGGGCTTGCTGCAGTTTTTCCACATGCGCTGGAACTGAACGCTGCGGTTATAAGAGCCCAAAACCCCATTGGAATACATCAGACGCAGTTTTGATCCGGTCTGTAACTGCTCTGCTCCTGGAACGCGCTTGGTGTGAACAAGGCCTTATAAATTACACGGCATGTTCATTTGTTCTGTAGGAAAACAAATGTTATTAGCAAATGTTTGTTTTGTTTCCAGGTCCAATGTAGTATCAGAAAAATACAGCATTATGGCCTGTAGATGGAGCTAAGGAGTAAGGATGGGCTTGGGCGTGTTCGCAGCTCCACGTGCCGAGCCCGCCAGGAAGCTGACAGCGCGCAGCGCCAATCACAGGCACGGAGACATTTCCCGATCTCTGCAGCTGCGGACCAGGAAAATGTCTCAGTATCTGTGATTGGCGCTGCGCACTGTCAGCTTCCTGGCGGGCTCGGCACGTGGAGCTGCGAACACGCCCGAGCCCATCACTACTGAGGAGCAATGGAAAAAAAAGACTTCTCTCCTATGCATCTTAGCGCCACCTAGTGGCCATAATGCAATCTTTTTTGGATATTACATGCGGCTGCTGTGGGGCTGGACCAAAAATGTTGTAGACAAAAAAGTAAAATAAATTGGTAGTTTATATTGCATGGTGGTGGTGGGATTTGCAGGGAGCTAAAGGGGGTCTGGAGGTGAAGGTGGGCTTTAAAGCAGAACTCTGGGCAAATATAATCATAACCCTTGCCCAAGCCCATCCTTACTCCTCAGCTCCATCTACAGGCCATAATGCTGTATTTTTCTGATACTACATTGGACCTGGAAACAAAACAAAAGGGGCTAAGGCTATAATGTGTGTGCAGGAGATCTTCTAGGAGATTGTACAATCAGACTATAATGTGTGTGCAGGAGATTGTACAATCAAACTATAATGTGTGTGCAGGAGATCTTCCAGGAGATTGCACAATCACACTATAATGTGTGTGCAGGAGATCTTCCAGGAGATTGTACAGACAGACTATAATGTGTGTGGAGGAGATCTTCCAGGAGATTGTACAGACAATAATGTGTGTGCAGGAGATCTTCCAGGAGATTGTACAGACAGACTATAATGTGTGTGGAGGAGATATTTTAAGATATCGTACAATCAGATTTTAACTTGTGCATGGGCTTGATGCACACCGAGTTTGCCCAAGCCTGTGCAAAACTGTCATTGACACCCCCCCCAATCAGTTGCAGCCAGGGCATTCCCCACCCTGTTATGCATAGCTGTGGGGCAGGGAATGCCCCTGCCGCAACTGATTGGGCCAGGAGGGGGGTGTTTTTGAGGACAGTTTGGCACAACACACACATATCACTAGTGGCGAGCTTTAGCAATCATGCTGCCAGTGTCAATAGGATCACCTATATGGCCCTTAGGCTGATGTCACTGGGGCAATCTTGATACTAGTGACAAATTGTCACCATGGAGACCAGTCTCTATGGAATCTCTCCCTCCATAGCAACAGGTCGCTCTCCTTATTTGGCAGCACTGGGGGCTAGTCCTGTGCGACTCTTCCCCTGGCCATGTGTCACCCGTGTAGGGCTACAGATTAGGATACAAGGGCTGATCTGAGAATCCTGAAACACATTCTATTCTCCCAGCACAGAACACAGGAAACAAACTGTCACCCTGGTTGCTAAGGCAAGTGTTCTCCCTCCCCTGCTCGCGTATACACACCCCCAGTGACCGTCCCTTCCAATGCCATTTATCAAAGTATTCCAGTTCCGGCTGGTTATAGTGTGCCGTGGCCCCCCTATAATAGCCGTGGCTCTGCAGACAGCCCGCAGCCGTATTTACCTGTTTGCTGACCCCCATCTTTCTCCCGGAGCTGTCCCGTTGCATTATGGGCGCTGGTAACCAGGGGCAGCTCTTGCCTAGCAACCAAGTTCAGTCACGTGATGTGCGCCCCGCCGTTCTCTGTTCGGTCTGGGTGCTCGTTTCCCAACCGGGGTGGGCGGGGCTTAGCGGGGGTACAGCAAGAGCTCCCTCAGGGGTCCACGTACGGTGAAGCCCACCCTCAATCATCAGTGTACGCTCGCGGCGGACATCTTGGTGGAGGCAGAGGCCTTTTCACAGTTAGAAAATCCCAGCATTCCATTCACCAGGCACAGGAGTGACAGCCTGTCTCCAGCTGCAGGCTTTCCCATACAGGTCACTCAGTGACCACAGTGCTGACATCATGATAAGAACCCCTCATGCTCTCAACTCATATGAATTTATGTGCGCCTTCATCGAATTGACTCTTCTCCTCACTCTGCTGACTGTCCAGATCAGTATACCTGGAACTGATCATATCATGCACAATTTATCAGCACAGTATGGTAGACTCAACTGCCTTCAGCACTGTGCTCCCCCTTCTCTGGTGCTTATATCTTCATTCACAGGGCCGTTGATTGATCAAAAGTACGAACTTATCGAGTTGTGGGACCGCATGACTTCCGCTTTCCTCAGAACTACGATGTTTGCACACAAAACATGTTATGCACGAGCGCCATCCACGGCATTGCCCTATACACATAGACCACAGCAATAAAGTTATAAAAAGATCTAGGATGACAGTAAGCCAGCACGTTCTTTATCTCAGGTGCCCCACTGAAGCGGCAGCCATATTGAGTGGGGCACCGGAGATAAAGAACGTGCTGGCTTACGGTCATCCTAGATCATTTTATAGCTGTGGTCTATGTGTATAGGGCAATGCCGTGGATGGCGCTCGAGCACAACATGTTTTGTGTGCAAACATCGTAGTTCTGAGGAAACCGGAAGTCATGCGGTCCCACAACTCGATAAGTTCGCACTTTCGATACATCACCGTCCCTATAATGAGGCGGTTGCCTCAAACAGCATCTCATTGCGGGGCGCCACATCATCCCAGGTTGCTAAAAGCTCTTAGCAATCTGTGACGCCAAGCCCGCCAAGCTCCTGATAACCATTGACGTAAGTGAGACAGAGCCACGAACAGCGTGGTCTGGCGTAAAAAAAAACCCCCCCCCCAATCCTTCCTCAAACACAAATCAGTGCAACAACCATCCATGAGACCCCCCCCTTCCCCCATGTGACGAAAACTTTTGAGACATCTATTCAACCAAGTCTTCTTCCAGGTTTCGAGTGTTTTTGCCGCTTGATTGTCCTCCTTTTTACGAGTTTTGGGTGTGTGATCACTTGATTGGCCATCTTCTTCCAAGTTTTAAGTGTTTGGCCGCTTGATTGGACTTCTTCCATGTTTCGTGTGTTTGGCCGCTCGATTGGCAACCTTCTTCTGGGTTTCGTGTACTTGGCCGATTGATAGGCCATCTTCTTCCGGGTTTCGTGTGCTTGGCCGCTTGTTTGGACTTCTTCCAGGTTTCATGTGCTTGGCCGCTTGATTGGCCATCTTCTTCCGGGTTTCGTGTACTTGGCCGCTTGTTTAGCCATCTATTTCCAGGTTTTGCGTGCTTAGCCGCTTGATTGGCCATCTTCTTCCAGGTTGTGTGTACTTGGCCGCTTAATTGGCCACCTTCTTCTGGTTTTGTGTACTTGGCCGCTTGATTGGCAATCTTCTTCCAGGTTTCCAGTGTTTGGCCACTTGATTGGCAATCTTATTTTGGGTTTCCAGCGTTTGGCTGCCCAGTTGGCCATCTTATTCTCAGTTTTGAGTGTTTGGCCACTGCTTTCCATGCTGCCTGAAGTGATGCAATCTCCATTTCTTAAGACTACATAACCCATCATGCATTGCTTCCAGCAAGCACTGATAATGTTACATTGTTCAGACGTTGAGTTGTAGTTCAAACAGGAGGCTTAGTTAGGCCTCATTCACACACAACGCAAGCAAATCTGTATATTGCGATCATGCGCGTATATACGAGCGTCTATGCGCGTATATACGAGCGTCTATGCGCGTATATGCGTGCACTATATGCAATCCAAGAATGCATCACGCGTAATGGAATTTTAATGTGCTGTATGCATGTACACGCGTATGTGCGCGTAAATACGCAAAGATACGCTGCCCGGACGCATCTCTGTTCCATTCCGTTTTTGCGCATATATACGCTGCGCAAATATACGGCTCCATACGCGGCTGTGTGTATCTGATCATTGTCTTAGCTCGGCACATCTAGTTATTCATTTTCCACGTATACACACTCACAGTGGGTGTACATTCCAGTGCCTTGTAGCTGTTAGCTTGCTTATTGGCGCAGTTCATTCTTTATATTGTATTATGTGTGTATGGAGCCATTTATTTGCATATGTTGCATATGGTATAATACGTACGTACGCGCGTATATGCGCTGCAGTGTGAATGAGGCCTTAGAGTGGTGACACAAGGAAGCACATTCACAGGCCTGAGTGAGCTTGTGTCAGTGCATCCTATGGACATCTTCAATAAGTAGATTTACAGACTTCTAGATGGCTATTAGGAGTGGGATAGAGCTTATGGAAATTCAATATAGAAATACATCATTGACCATAGAGACCCTTTATTATAAAGATTCATGAAGGAGGTTGGTGACCATATAAAGACACTGGGTCTATTTCATTAATAAAAGCATAGAACGGGTGAATTCTGATGTCCCTGATAGTTGTCAGAGGGGGAGGCACATTTTATTTACCCCCACTGAGATAGGTGACCCCTGTGGTGTCTTTCCATGCTGCTAATCCCGATAACTCTCCATTACTTGAGCAGGAGGGGATCATTTCTGTTCATGATTTTGGCTCAGGTCATGTATTAATGGACAACCACCCTCATAGGTCTGTGTGTGGTCTTATGCAGGCTCACCTAATTCACTTTATAATGGCAGCTTATCCCAAAGACTCCATGACACCATTACCCCGGACTCCAGCGGTCCGACGTCATCATGTCTAATACAGGTCCATCGACTTGCATTAGACGTGAGGACTCAAAGCAACATTCCATAGCCAAAGCAGAGAGGTAGAGAGGTGAGTGCCGTCTGTCATGGAACTTCAAAGGTAAGTTTGTGACTTTTCCTGGAGTTCTATAATAAGTAAATATGAATACTGACATTATTCTTTAAATTAATCTATTGTCAAAAGAAGCCTACACCCAGGCCCGGATTTCCCACAAAGCCACCGAGGCCCGGCCTCTGTGCGGCAGAGCGTAGAGGGGTGGCAGCGGTGACCTTGTGGGAAAGTTTTCTGCAGCCAGGCTGTAGGGGGTGGAGCCTGCTGGGTCCCTCACACAGCTCTGCCCCCTAAAACAACAGACTGTGTCCCATGATAATCATCTCTCCCTAACCGCAGATAATCAGTGAATGCCCAAATACTTCCGAACAACTGCAGCCCCTACCAGCCTTTCATTGCTTTGTATAAGCCAGGAATAGGCAACCTCGGCACTCCAGCTGTAATGAAACTACAAATCCCATGATGCCTCTGACTCTGGCAGTCATGCCTGTAGATATCAGAGTGCCGTAATGCCTCCTGGGACTTGTAATTCCACAAAAGTTGGAGTGCCAAGGTTGACTACCCCTGACATTGGCTATTTGACAGCAACTGTTTGCACACTTCTGTTATTCTGGCTGCCGGATGTTGCAGATCCTTGCCACTAGAATTCGCCAGTAGCCCTAAACGTGGGCATGAATGAGGTCTAAATGTGGTGGTTTTACTTATGTTGTGTCAAACTGAAGGCAGCGTCACTTGTATGCCCGCTCACTTCCAGGAAGACGGAGTCGGGATGGGTGATTTTAGATTTCTACCTCTGTCCTTTATTGAGAAAAGTTCTCACAACCTGTCAATTCGATGCAGTCACCACTCGTCTTCACTGACAGCAGCTGGCACGCCTGGGTTAGGCGGGCACACATTGTCTCACTTCTCCGCCTCTCTCATTGGGTAGTTGCAGTGAGCAAGTAAACATGGCGAACAGCAATATACCTTTACAATAAACTCCTGCGTCTACCTAGAGTTAAATGAGCTGCCCGCACGCTTCTTCCTGCAGCAACATGCGAATGGGGCCTAAACAGGAATCTCTTCTTTTTTTTGTTGCTCAGCCCATAGGCTGTTTAAACATTTCTTTGTGTGGGAGAAATATTTATTTGTTGTTTTTTGCGTCCGAGGCAAGAACAAAAACATGTTGTCCCCCCCCCGGCAGGGGTGTGGCGTCATGTGACGTCATGCGCCCTGCCTTCAGGATGTTTTTTTATTTATTTTTCATTTCTTATTTTGTAACATTTTTTATTTGGTTTTTATTTTTTTTTACTGTTGGAGGCGGAGGGGTGGGGGGGGGCTTTGGGGAAATATTAGGGGTCTAAACAGCCCCCTAATATTTCCCTTTTAAAATAGAAAAAGGAATTGAGTCCTCAATCTCTTTTTCTGCAGCAGAGGCTTCCCATTCATTCAGAAAATATTTACTATCATCCAGTTTCTGAATGGGGAGAATCCTCTGGACAGAGTGCTACTACTCATTCAGAAACTCATGAATGAGCAGGAAGTGATGTAAAGCACTTCCTGTTCATTCATAACTGGGGACACATAGTACTATGTGTCCCCAGTTATTTTACAAACACTGGAGTAATCAGCTGATCGCTCCAGTATTTGGTCTACACAGAGGATCGGTAAATATCACTGCCCGGCCATGCACAGAGGGGCAGCACAGCCACTTCAGGATGGCCGAGCAGTGAGGAGAGAGAGAGCCGCTGGCCGTCAGATCCTGGCCGAGCGGCTCGATCTCTCCTCACTGCTCGGCCAACCCCCCCCCCATCCACCTGCGCCCAAAGCGAATGCCTCAGTCGCCTCGTCCTAGCTACGGCCCCAGCCAGTGGCAAATAACATATCATAATGTATGAGGTGCAGTGCTATAGCTACTATTAGCTGGCCTATGACCCTGGGAGGCCTTGTTCTGACCCTCATTCATGGGAGACTTTCTGTTTACCCCGTATTGTCCAAATAGGAGCTGCATCCAGATGTCTTTATTACCCAGAGGAGACATGCGTTGTCTCCAGTTTGCAGTTTGTATAACACACAGGAAATTTACATTAGGATCTAAATATGTCAATGTGGGCTTCGAAAAGGTGTTGTCCATGGGGAGGCATTTTTTAGCCATATTCCAGGAAAACAGATATTACATGAGTGAAATACATACAGTATATGAGAGCTGTCAAAGGATTTCTATGTCTGTCCATCCAATCTTGTGAATTACACAGTTCCATCAAATAGAACATCCCTGTCTGGCAGGGCAGTAGACCTGATTTTCTATTCTGCAGGTAAGTAATACACAGATTAAATAAATTTATGGGAGCTGTTACCTGCCAAAGGATTTGTGTTTTTCTCAATCCGGTTCTGATCTACACAGCTCTGCCACACAGAAATGTTCTGTCAGGCAGGATAGGAGACCTGATTTTCCGTTGCTGCGGTTCAGTAACACTAACAGGTCTTGTTCCGTCCCCAGCATGTGAATGGACTGTGAAAGAAGAACAGCAGACAGAGCTCATCCTCATTTCACTCTGCTTTCTCCTCCTAGGAGAATGTCCATTGTTTGACAATGGGCACCATAGAGGATATGTGGGATTGGTACAATGGTACTTTGACTATGGACACCATAGAGGATATGTGGGATTGGTACAATGGCACTTTGACAATGGCACCATGGAGAATATGTGGGATTGGTACAATAGTACTTTGACAATAGATACCATGGAGGATATGTGGGATTGGTACAATGGCACTTTGACAATGGACTCCATGGAGAATATGCGGGATTGGTGCAATGGTACTTTGACAATGGCACCATGGAGAATATGTGGGATTGGTACAATGGCACTTTGACAATGGACACCATCGAGAATATGTGGGATTGGTACAATGGCACTTTGACAATGGACACCATGGAGGATATGTGGGATTGGTACAATGGTACTTTGACAATGGACAACATGGAGAATATGTGAGATTGGTACAATGGTACTTTGACTATGGACACCATAGAGAATATGTGGAATTGGTACAATGGTACTTTGACTATGGACACCATGGAGAATATGTGAGATTGGTACAATGGTACTTTGACTATGGACACCATAGAGAATATGTGGAATTGGTACAATGGTACTTTGACTATGGACACCATGGAGAATATGTGAGATTGGTACAATGGCACTTTGACAATGGACACCATGGAGAATATGTGGGGTTGGTACAATGACACTGACAAAATAAACCATTGTATTAAAAAGAGCTAACTAGTCCTGAGGTCTTCAGGACTGCTGTAGCAGATTCCATAGAGCTGGTAGGTGAGTAAAAAAAATAATAATAAACTTTTTCCATTAATGGATCCAGATCAAACAAATATACTTTGCTCGGCAAAGTACTTCTTTACATTTTTGCCCAAACACTTACAGTCATTATGTTTCCAAACACCTCCAACTCTCTCAGCTTGGCTTTCCTGAACCTCCTATCCAGTAGAAGACCACAAGGAAGAGCACAGTCTCCGGCAGTCGTCCATCTACTAGCTTACAGGAAGGAGGAGAGGGGAGCAGAGGAGTGGCTTGCCTTGCAGTGCCTGTGTGTTTCTAGGGATGCACCGATACCGATACTAGTATGGGTATTGGTGCCGATACTAAGAATTTTGGAGAGTACTCGTACTCGCGCCCGAATGCTCCGATACCTTCCCCGATATCGGAACTTCTGATCATAGGAAAATTTCCCCTGACCGGCAGTGCCATAAGGGAACATGGAGCTGGCTTCCCAGGCAATCAGGAAGCCAGGCGGTGAGTATTGACCCACCGTCTGGCTTCCTGATTGGCCGGGAAGCTGGCTCCATGCTAATTGGCTGGGAAGCTGGCTTTGCGGGTCATTACTCACTGCCCGGCAACCTGATTGGCCGGGAAGCCGGGTTGAAGCTGGTTTCCTGGCCAATCACAATCGAGCCAGCCGAAAAACATGGAGCCGGCTTCCCGGGCAATCAGGAAGTCGGACGGCATGTCATTACCCGTCACCCGGCTTCCTGTTTGCCCGGGAAGCCAGCTCCATGCCAGCGGAAGCACCGGAAAGCAAAATACTCGTACTCGATACCAAAAAAACCGGTATCGGTGCATCCCTAGTTTCTGGAGACATGCACAGCTTACTAGCACACACAAGGGTATCTCCCTAGGACCCTGCAAGGGAAAGGAGCCACCCTAAAACAAGATATCAGGGTGAGTGCTCAGGTGACCAGCTGATTCTGCAGTAAACTAAACCTTTTAAACATCAAGAAGCAGCATCCATTGTAAGTGATTTCATCAGCATTGGAAATAGCTTAAAAACCTTTTGACTTTAATATCATTTTAAACAGAGGAGCTCCACCACTGGACATTTTCCTTCTACTGAAGACATGTTTTCCACTCTTTTACTTGTCAAGGAAAATCTCAGAAATATAACAATGAACCACATAAGTAGCAAAGAGGATGAGTTGTATGGTTGCAATAATGGCAGTGAAGTCAACCTGGGAGCCGCTATCTTCTGTTAGTTATCTAGTACTTACTAAACTGATCAGCAAAGAATTTGAGCTTACAAACACTTCCTTCATCTCTGTTCATCAGTCCATATGATGGTTCGAGGTGGGTCTGTAGAGCACATGATGACATCAGAAGGACACCATGCACCAACTCTGAGGACTCTATCCTTCAATTCATCTGCAGATCGGAGTGTGACATTGTCGTTGGTTTATCCAAATTGAATTATTCATAGTCATAGAAAAAAAACTGTATCCAATATGATTTCAACTCAAAAAGTCATCATCGCTTTGCGCATAGGAGAAGCCATAAAAGGCATTTGAGCAACTGGAACTGCCGAGGCTCAGGTCGGGTGTGCGGCCAACAGAATTCGGCACGTCCTCCTGGGTGAATTCTGGATCAAAGTGTCGCAGATCAGCTGGACCAGCCTGCAAGGAGAAAAGTTGGACCATTTCAGTAAGCTGAACTTAATTTTTATTTAAAAATAATCCTCAATATCCACAAAGAATATAAATCCACTTTGTGTGCACCAAATGCCTTGCAAAAAGTTATTACTTTAACCTGTGCAAAGATCATAGCAGTGGGAGGGGCCCAACAGGTCTCCACCCACTGCAGACTGCCTGCAGAAAACTACAGATGAAGGCGGATACAAGACTAGTCACCCTGCACAAGGGGAGAGAGCAGCAGTGAGTGGTGTGTGTTCCTGAAACTGCTCCAGAGCTTGTGTTTTTTTCATCTATCCCAGCCCTCCTGGCTCCTTCCTGGGGAAGCCATGGAGGCCGGCGGGGCCTCTCCTGCTGGGAGCTCTCAGTCTCCTGGGCTGATGAGCGAGTTGCCTGCACCTGTGCAATCGGAAGCTGGAGATTAAAAGCGCCCTCTTTGCCCCGCATTAAAGACGGCCCTGGGGTACATTCATTGCTAAGTTTTATTGGAATATACAGGTGAAACTCGAATAATTAGAATATCGTGCAAAAGTAATGGCAGTAAGTGCTGCAAAAGGGGCCCAAACCAAGTACATATGCATGCTTGTACTTTTCAGAGGTCCGATATTGTTCTATGTACAATCCTTGTTTTATTGATTGCATGTAATAATCTACTTTTTTGAGATTGTGGATTTGGGATTCTTGGGGTTTTCATGAGCTGTAAGCCATAATCATCACAATTATATATTAGTTTCACCTTTTAAGTTGCATTAGTGAAATAAATGAACTTTGCACGATATTCTAATAATTTGAGTTTCACCTGTATGTATTGTCACCATATGGGTATTGATAAAGCCCCATTTTTTTCCATTGTCTAGTTAAGATATTTCAGGGGTGTAGTACCTATATTTAGGGGCAGGGTCTAGTATAATAATAATGATCACCAGGACAAAACGAGAGGGTGAATCTTCCTAGACGGAGCTGCAGGAGAGTAGACCGAGGAGGACCCCTGACATCATTGGTTGCTAGGACCGCTCAGCAGTTCTAGCAACCAATGACTGCAGAGGAGGACCTCTGATGTCATTGGTAGTGAGGACACCAGCTGTCCTAGCAACCAAGGACCAAAAAGAAATTAGTTTCAAATGTGGACCCATCACTGACCTGTGCTGGGCTTTTCCTTGGCAAGTGGTGCATCCACTCTGAGCCTGCCATGACAGAGCGCAGTATGGCGGACCAGACAGCCGCCAACCAAGGGCTGGATACAGGCCCTGGGCGGTAAAATACCCAGGTGTGGTCTAGTGGCAGGAATGCCATGCGAACGGCATTTGCCCAGTGTATGGCTGGGTGGAAGATTTATCAATCAGCCCCATAGTGTGTTGCGGCACATGCTTTGCCACAATGCAAGATAGTGTGCACAGGCACTAAGACCAAGTCTTTTCAAATAGCCCCTCCTTACCATCTTGTCTTGAATTGTATTGTGATTGTAATGTATTCCCTATATTGTAAAGCGCTGCGCAAACTGTTGGCGCTATATAAATCTTGTATTATAATACAGGTATTCCTCACTTAACGACCGAGTTCCGTTCCTACGACCAGGTCGTTAAACGGATTGGTCGTTAAGTGAGGAACTCTATACAGTACTATACTGCATTAGTACAGTACTGTATAGCGTTGCCGATGTACAGTACCGAACAGTGTACTGTACATCCGGCAATGGAAATACTTACCGAGACCTGCAGTGAAGATCGGGGGATGTCACTTCCGCCGGCGACCCGTCGCACTGACGCTGACGCGGAAGGTCGGAGGTCGATCGGCGGTCCGTCGTAAGTGCGAGTGGTCGCAAAACAGGTAAGTCGGTAAGTGAGGAACATCTGTAATAACAAAAATGAGTTTTATTAAATATTGCAGGATCACATTCACTCACCACGTTGGGGTTATAAGGAGGGGGAATCTTTTTCTGGTACAGGTCATCCCAGTTAATGTGACTGAAGAATACATGGTTCTTGATCTCCAGCTGCAGAACAGATAACACTTTTCATTAGAACAAGATACACATTATATGACATATTTGAGGTGTTACCACACTGGAAGCTCAACGCTCATGAATTATGTGAACGGTTCTTAGATATGACACCGGTTTACTTCTAATGTCACCAATTTGCCTTTTCTGTTCATACTGGATATGCTTCACTACACTAAGGTTGCCATTGTATTGCTGGTCTGTATACATCAGGAGCTTTCTTTTATATGCATGTATCATGCCATGATTTTATTCATGTTTTTTTTAAAATAATAACCAGTTCTTCCACAGCATGTGAATGTGTCTGTTTTTGCACCTTTACTTTCCCAATAGTATGACATGTGAAAGGTTTGCTTTATAGCAGACGCAATGATTATCCTCTACTTACCTTTTCGATGCTCCCTCTGCCTGGATCCACTGCCAGAACCCCTGAAATAGCTGGACATAGCATTCCCCTTCCTACAGCATCTCAGTGCATAGTGCATGAAGCCAGTTGCACGGCCTATCCTATCCTATCCTAGACAGCGGTCTGTTAAGGGGGGACCCCAGGCAAAAAAAGGACATGAACTTTCCCTCCCCTCCACATCAAGAGCCCCCTTCAGAGTTCCCCCCATCATATCAGACTGCCACCCCCCTTGATATTAGAAGCCCCTTTCACATCAGAAGCCATCCTTCACATTAGGAGCTTCCTTCTCATCAGAGTCCCCCCTTTCTCTTCAGGAGCCCCTCTTTCACATCAGAGACCCCCTTCACATCAGAGTCTTCTTTTCACATCAGGAGTCTCCTTCACTTCAGAGTCTTCCATTCACATCCAGAACCCCAACTTTACATCAGAAGCACATGAGAGACAACC